AGCCATTAGGGAAATCCGCAGTCAGTCAAGACCAAAGAACTCACTTGGATGAGTAGTGAAACGTTTCTCCCATTGAACACGCAACATCCAGATAAAAAGAATCAATTTTCTGGAATTTCCTTACCTGGATGATTGAGCACAAACCAAGATTCCTTGCTGAAAAGTAAAAAACACTAACCACTACACTACTGTCCACCCGATTTATGAACTTATATTATTTCTGTTTGCAAATTTCACACTAAGGTAAACCATAAACACCTCAACATTTTTGGAAAAAGCCAGAGATGTGTACAGGTTCCATAAAAGACTGAGGTGTGCAGGGACCAATCAATTTAATGCAACAAATTCCTTAGGGAAATGAATTCAATTTATATAGCACAAAATCAAAACAACATTTGCCTCAAGGTGCTTTATATTGTAAATTGAGACCTACATTAATACAAGAATACAAAACATTACAAAATTCCTATAAGATGCCCTATCAGCAGACACTTGGTGAGAGTGGGAAAGAGAAATTCCTTTTTAAAAAGAAAAATCTTTAACAGAACATGGAGGAGAAACCATAGGCAGGTTAGGGCTAAACATCATACTGTGGATAGAACACTCTTACCTTCTCTCTAGTGTCTTGAGACAACTGTCGTTGTGAACTGGTGCTACATTAATAAAACTCAGTTTAACTAAATGACAACCAATATATAATTCTTATATCATATTGGTACTTGGTAATTATTTTCATTAAAAAAATTTTAAAAAGTGAGGAATTTTTGGCCAAATTTGGCGTGCTCTCCAACTCACCTGGCTTCTTGTGACTGACATAGATATACAGAGCCATAACAATGACATTTGTAAGAAGGGCAGCTGCCCAGTTGATGACAAACATCACCCCACAGCAGAGAATGGCTCCAGCAAGGGAAACCCACATGTTGTAGTATTTGAAGCTAGGTCTCCAGCCTGTAACATCGATGTAAATTAGTCACAAAATAGCAAAATAGATTTAAAATGTCACACAAACAGTGCTAGTCACATATAAGGTGCAAACAAAAAGTTCCATAACTGCTCCAGCTGGGTATGAATATGGTCGTGTGATTGAAACAGGACTTTTGGCAATGACAACGAAAGCTTATGTTATTCTTGTTGTGACTATTTGCATTGGTGCATTTGTAATTTATAACATGAGAGCAAAATAACCAGTGTGTTGAATTCTACGAATTTACTTTAAAAGCAACTCAAGATTCTTCATCACTGGTAAGAAGAGTTGGGTCTAGTTATGTTAGACTACAGAGCAGCCCTTAGTGGGTGGACCTGCAGTCAAAACCGAAGAAGGCTCATCAGGTCAAAAGCAATTCTGACATGGTGAAGGAGATCCAGATGGTACCGCTGAGCACTTCAAGTAAAGCAGTAGGACTGACTGCATCAGTCACTGTATCAGGGTACAAGGTGACAAGGGCTTTTGCTTTTTATTGGAGCAGTCACAAAACTTTTTGATTTCATTTGGTACAGTTTAGGTATTATGTGCAAAAATTAGAACTGAAAACTGAATTAAATTCGGTTAAGGCTGAGTAGAAGTTCTTTTTCAGACACTTCAGCTGGGAACAAATTAAATAAGACCAGCAATGTGGGAGGTTAAAGAACAGGAAACGTTGAGTCAGCCTCCATTTAAAGAAGCTTATTATAAAACGGTCAATGTTGCTGTTAGAGAGGAGGGATAATGTTTCAGATGGAGCTAGGCATATGTTTGGGTTAAAGAATGAGTTGACAGTCTACTAGAAGTTATACGAGACATTAGGGACCATATTCATTCATTGGACAGTACAGAAACTAGAATAGTGGGATTTTAGTGATGGAATACAGTTGGTGTGTGTTTGGTTACGCAATGACAGAGTCTTTAAAAAACAGGACATAAAGGGTACATTGACAGTGTCGTTCCTGAGTCTATGAAGGGACTTTAGGAGTCCCAGAAATTAGAAAGTAATTGGCCCTGAACTGAAAGTAATGTTTGTGTTCCAAAGAGAGAAATCTATTACACCATCATACTGTTTCTGTACTCTCTAAATGAGTCATGTACCATTTAGGTCCACGTAATTTTATGACCTGCTGGA